ACACACACACACACACACACACACACACACACACACACACACACACACACACACACAGGGGTGTTTCTCACATCAGGGAGAAAGACAAGCGAGGTTCCATCCGTTCACCCATACAGACACAAAGAAAATTAATTTGTTACAGTGCATTTATTGTCATGACAACCTGCCTTTTAATTAAAATCTGACAAACAAGACAAAAATCCCTCTCTCATCACATGTGACCACCAGATGAACAATGACTCTGCTGCAACACGTTGGCAGAACGTGGTTCATTAAAAAATACCAGCTTTTCTAAATCACAGGTCCTGACTGATTACAGAAACTATCTGATTTTAATCAGATTAGCTTTGTTTCGGATTAAAACTGATTAATTAAGGAATAATAGTAAAACTCTTCATGACAAATTCTAAAAGCTTCTCAAAATTGTCTCAAAATATTAATTTAGACTAATAAAAATGTAGAAGACTGCAATTTCATTTTTAAAGCCTAAAGTTGATCTGCAGCGGTGGACACAGCTAACCAAAAAAATTAGCTTCACAAACCTCTAATCCACTAAACATGTATCTTAATTTTGCTAACGCTAAAACGATAAAGGGGTAAAAATTAGGGGAAGCTAAYGATAACGGCTAAGTCGCCTGTGTCCCATTTAGTTCTTTTATTTTGAAGGTGGGTGGCAAAATGACTAATCCAAACCCAGGTTTTAGCTGTCCGACTTGTGATACAATTCATCCTTTTCAGAATAAAAGCATTACTGTAACTGAGTTTGGATTTTTATAAACACCGTTTGAAGTTGAAGTAGCAAATACTTTTTCTTCTCACTTTTGTGTTTACTTAACATTTAATTTTCTTTCTGACGGTCTAGTTTTAGCAGCTAAAGATGCTACATGCACACAAACAGTGCCTGACACGTCCAGCACTGCTTGTAAGACAGGATGGCTTTTATTTAATTTAGGATAACTCAGATAAATATAGAAGTTTAACAGTTTTAGCTGACTTAAAATTAGAAGATCCTAATTTAGTGGAAGCTAATCAATCCGCGAATGGTTTCCAAAGATAGCAAAAAAAACTAATCCGCTAAATGAGAAGTTACTTCTGCTATTAATGGATTAGTGCAGTGGTGGGCAGCGCTAATCCAAAAATTTTCACCGCAATTTCTAAAGCACTTATGAAAATATTTAGGTCCACAATTTCAAAACCGCTTATGCGATAGAAAAATTAGCGGAAGCTAATTTTAAAGCGCAAGTTCAGTTTGACACTTACTAGCTGACAATTCATGTGCAATACCGTATGTGCACAATACTGCCAACTAGTGGTGTATGAACCCTTTTACAGCTTAATCCTACAACCATCGATTGCTGGGGATGTGACTTCCTGAAACAGACCTTTAGCTCCTGGTGTGAAAATAAAAAAGTTGTTGAGGATTGCTAGTTCGGCTGCTTCTTTAAAAAGTTGTTGAGGATTGCTAGTTCGGCTGCTTCTTTGTCTTTTTCTTTTGTTTGTTGTAGATTTTTCATTAAAGAAGCATCAATAAAGTAATTTTAAAACTGTTTACTGGAAAACTGAAGCGATGCATTCTGGGTACATGACGGATTTGATTTGTGATGGGAAACAAAAACAGGAAACTATCTTCCCTTCACAATAAGAGCTTGGATTTTAAAGTTTTCCATGTAGTTACCCAGTTGACCACTAGATGTCTGTCTTCATCTAGCATGACATCTGTATATCA